TTGTGGGGTTGTTAACCAATGTCATGAAACAACATGTGTACTACTGTTTCATGAGAAACTATTTGTTCTGTAAGCCTTCACCTGAAGTACAATATAAAAAAAAAAAAGGAAAGAAAAAAAAAACCCAGAGAAATAAAAGATTTGTTGTCAAACATGTATTAAAAAAAAAAATTACTTAATCTCTCTGAGCCTCATTTTTCTCATTCGTAAAATGGGGATAATAATAACCACATTATTATGGTTGTAAGAATGAGGTAATATACAAAAAAAAAAAAATCTAGTGCAGCCCCAGACACATAGTGTTTAATAAAAGTCATCTTCATTTTTTTAGCCATTGGCCAATTCTCAGTAGATAAATTATCCAAGATAATTACGTGCATTTCCAAAGAAACTAAGTAAGAAATCATATCCAGTTTAGGTCTATACTTTTCAGTGAGTCATGAGTTCTTTCTTTTTAAGCTAGTGGGGCCTGGCTTTTGTTGAAGTCCTGGTTAACTTTTGACCTATGAGTTAAACGACCTTAATTTCCATAACTGGAATGTCTGCCTGCCTCTTGGAGGTCATGGCCGCTGTACTCACCCCAGCAATTTGACAACCTATTCTTCAGGGGCACTAATCATGTCCTCTGCGTGGAGACTGCAGGGTGCTAGCTCACAGCCCTGCCTTCTCCTCTCACTCACTCCCTTGTGTGTGCCCCTCGCTCCACAAGGCCTCCCGCTGGTGAGTGTTAGGGGATCAGGATATAATTGATAGTAGCAGCCCAAAGGTGCTTCCTGCAAAGGTGTTGGCTCCGGTGGGCACACTAGAGAGTTTAGACCAGTTTTCAAAAATTCTAACATGAACAATGTTTATTTTTTCCTTTCTATTGGGAAGGTGGAGGGGACGGTCCAGAGCATCCCAGGAAATCCACAGTTGGATGGTTCAGTCTTTTCAGACGAGAACATACCCCTCTGCTAATGTCATCCCCAACCCTGATTTTAAGCGGCAGTCTGGGGGAGATTAAATTGAAGTTTATCTTTGAGTGACCGGAGTTATTTTTGTTTTCCTCAGCCCGGACGAGTGTAATTAATGCTAAGACACTGGTGGGAACAAAGCTTTTATTATAATATGAGAGTGAGGATGGCTTGGACTGACCTTTCTTCTGCTGGAGTTTCAGTGTTTTAGCATGTGCTGCTTGTGCTGGAAAGAATTTATAATCACAGGCTGTCAAAGACAGCCATTGTTCTCACTGCTCTGAACATGTGGGTCAGCCACAAGTGCTTTCGGTTCCCCCAGCGCCAAGAGCTGGCTGAGAGCAGAGAGCATGCCTGGATTCTTCTGAGGCATCAGGAAAAGCGTTTTGCATATTTTTCATTGCTTTTTTTTTTTTAAAAAAAAAAAAAAAACTTTTTGCCTCAGAAAGACAGCTCCCCTTTTCAGAGCAGGAATTTCCCTTCAAGGTAGAAGGAGATGGAAGCATCCTGCTCCAGGATTTTACGGAACTGATTCTGCTGCAAAAACAGACTCTGCGTGCATTTGCCAGATAGCACAGACAGGAGCAGTTGCACGGCTGAACTAGGGGCTTATTGCCAGAACAGACATGCAGTTATGGATCCTGAAAGACGGGTCAAGGTTAAGATTTTAGTTTTTCATTTGTGTTTTCATCTGCCAGTGTATTCTTAGGAATCCAAACTTTGTGATCCTTTATTATTAATTCCTTTGCTTTTTTTTTTTTTTTTAAACCATGGTGGGGTCTCAGTTACTTGGGCATTTTCCTTGGAAATGTAGTGTGTGATTTTCTGATTGGGAATGATGACTTGTAGATGAGTATCAACCCTCCAACTGGTTGCCATAACTTTTTCTTTCTCCTGTAGAGCGGCTGGTTGGTTCGAACTGCCGACCTTTCAGTTAGCAGCGGAGCACTTAACCACTCTGCCACCAGGGCTCCTTAACTTTTCCATATGATGCCATCAGAATTTCGGGGGGACCACAGCTCTTACTGATATTGTAGGCTCTACTTCTATTGCGGTAATGTCTATAATTCTTTTGTTTTATTTTTGGGCAGGAGACTGAAGACATTGAGAGTCCTAAGCGAAGTATCCGAGACAGTGGCTACATCGACTGCTGGGATTCCGAGCGCAGCGACTCCCTCTCTCCTCCTCGGCACGGCAGAGATGATTCCTTCGACAGCCTGGATTCCTTTGGCTCCCGTTCCCGGCAGACACCTTCCCCAGATGTAGTCCTCAGGGGAAGCAGCGATGGTAGGTCAGAGTCTTAATAAACTCCACATCTCAGAATTAAGCATTAACAAGGGCTGCATTGTCACCAGCTGAGGGATTGGCTCTGGTAAGCTGACTCCATGTCAGCCTTGTTGGAACCTGGTAGCTCTATAAACTGGTTGAAGAAATGGTTTTGAACGTTGTTTTTCATGGCCCTTAGAATTTTGGTTGGCTTTGCCAGCAGTTTGTTTGAACATTGCCTCAGTGAGCATATCTTCTACTGGAAAATGTGTTACATCATTCCTCCCTGGGTCTCAGTGAATCAAGACCTGGTGCAGACTATTAGCTCATAAACTGTGCCAAAGTTTACATACTCTGGGTATGAGGAGGGGAAATGCTTAAGTGAGTACCACACTGTATAAGTGAAAATGGATTGACTTCCAGCAAACTGGAAACACACTCCGCACACGTATGAACGTTGTGAAGCCTAGGATTGTGAAACGTTAATTGGCAAGGTTCTTGGCAATCGATTTAATCCTTATGATACCTGCCGGGGCAACTAGAGCTGTGCAGGTGGCCGTTAATGTATAGTACATGGCCCAGACTGCCTGCGTTTGTTCTGGGGCTGGGTTTGATTTAAATCCAGCTGATTTTATATTACCTGTAAGGAATGATCATTTATCTTTACAAAAATGTATGGTCATGTAACCTGATATGAATTTAATGCATACTTTTCAGAAGCTGTTTACCTTACTTAGCTTGAACACTTGTACTTTACAGAAGGGAAGATGACTTGATTCTGCCTGTATAAACTTGCAGAGACATACTAAGGCCAGTGGGCAATTTTTAGGTTTTTCTATTTTTTCACATATTACTGTTGATGCTAATATTTCTAGGGGCTGAAGCCTACTCTCTGAGATCAAAGCTATCTTTTCTAGCTAAAAGATTCTCTTCAGCTGTAAAATTCTGTGTCATTAGCTGCATCCATGGGTTGAGTACTTAATGTATCTGGGTAATGAATACTTGAGCACACAGTATCTCATTTAGTCGTACCACAGAGCTATAAGATACTCCTTATTCTTATTTTCCGGATAAGCCTTAGAGAAGTTAAATAATCATCCCAACACTATTAAGTGTCAAAGATCACCATCAGTAAGTACTATAACAGTGTTAGAATTAAGAAGTGTGAGTCCAAAACTTATGTTCTTAAGCTTATTTTACTCACACTTTTTTCTCTTTGCTGGATAGATTTTTTTGTTGTTGTTCTAGAATGACTGGACTAATGCTTTTCTTTATTACTTAAACTTTCCAACAAATAGATTAGCCTCAGGGAACCACATAGTATGTGACTCCTAAAGAATTCCAGGGCCATTGTGAGCTGCTTGAAAAACATTTCTAAAATTTCATATGACATCTTAAATACTACCCGCAGTATTAGCAGTCACAATGCCATTTCCATGATCTAATTGACCTTTAACATAAACAAAAAGTAGATTTACTTTTACAAAATGTATCTTAACTCCAGTGAAACCTGTGAGAGCCAGAACTCGATGGGACTGCCTTGTGTTTACAGGTCTCCCAAGTTTTCCGCCTTTGACAGGGTACAGTCTTACCACTTTTTTATCCTTTCTGTTGGTGGACAATACTTTTGTTTTCCTTCTCTGGCAGGTTTCCGCCTTACACATGTTCCAGCTTTCACAGGTTTTACTGTATTTAGTCCATATTATTTTGATGGTTTTAAAAAATATATCTCCTTCACACTGTTCTCTTTTCATCAGTGGTAATGTGGATCCTTTATTTATTCTGTCACCAGCTTTGAGGGGTTCAGAGTTTATAATGAGCCACATCTTGAAGGGGTTTAAGATGGTGATTCCTGATATTGTACTAATACATACTGAGGTGCAATTTTGTTTGCAGCAATGAAGATTGCTAAGATAGAGTCTTTTTATAAATGTTTTCTCCATCTAAAGAATAACATTAAAATTGAATTCCACGGAACACTATCCATGTAACAGCATCTTACACATCTCACCAATCAGCCTGATACCTAAAGGCCCATGTTTTTGTAAACTAATCAAGACTTAATGAGGTTTTTAAAGAAAAGACAAATTTTTATCTGCCTTAAAAAAATGTGGTATAATTTTAGCCAAATTGATGTTGGATTTCATAAGAGTATATGGCATGTTTTTAAAAGTGATGCTGATCAAGAAGATTGATAGTCCTAATAAACACTTCCATATTTGGAAGAACATTTTTTTAGGTCCTGAAAATTGATTTCCTAGGACTCACAATGAATTAGGGCAAGTCTTACCATGAAATTCTCCAATCTCTTTATCAAGTACATAGGGAGATCTTTTATTTTCTTATTATTGAGGCCCACTGACCCATCCAATAAAGAAAAATCAAGGGCACATAAGAAGTGCCTTGATTCTGTGGATTGGACACAAGAGCTACCCAGAAGGGGCATTTGTGATGCTGTGGCTCTCCTAGGTTGATTCAGCCAATATGTCTTACTAGATAGGTGCCCAGTCCCTCCCTTACCTTCACAAGTATCCCTTCAGGGCCACGTAAGGGTGACTTAATGGGCTTCTTTGAAGAAGAAATACAAACCTTCCATTCAGGTGCTTTTAAAATTAAGAATATATTTTACAAATATGATGCTCTGTGTTAGACGAATATTCTAATCTTTTGTATAAAAGATGAATTAAGGGAGAAAATAAGAAATGAGAGAAATTCAAGTGCTGGAAGAGAATTAAAAAAGCAAAGAGCTGGGGTGAGTGTGGCAAAGAAACCTTAGAAGAAAGAAAGACACCTGGTTGCTGGAAGAGAGGAATGTAGCCCCATGAAAAGGAAGGGTCAGACTTTGATAAAATAACATCATCATTATGTGCTATGTTGCATTAGCCTAACTTTGGGTGTAAATAGAGAAATCACCCTAGTATATTTCCACATTCACAGGATGATGTGAAGTCAAAAGTTTTTGAAGTCCTCGGCCTTAGATAAAAAGAGATCTAACATTCACCAAGGTTATGGGTGCCAACCACTTCCTAGGTGCTTTATGCCATCTTATTTAATCCTCACAACAACCTACAAAAGCAATATTATCATCTCCATTTTCCCATGAGGACCCTGAGGTGCAGAAGGTTTAGTTAAGTTTGTCAGGGTCACCCAGCTAGTAGGTGGTAGAGCTGAAATTAGACCTTTGCCTATAAGACCATAAAGCTACAGTTCTTTCAACTGAGCCACTTTACCTTGGGATGTTGGCAAATTAACATTTCTTGAAACGTCTAAGACATCCATCAAAGGGTACTGTAGCGGGGGGAGGGATCAGTTTATGTGTTAAACAGATGTATTTTGAGACTTTCACTCAGCATATTATAGATAATATATTTTAGATATTGTACAGAAATAATGTTTATAGATTATAGGACTTTAGGATTGAGGCTCTGAGGCAACTCTAATCCATTACTTCATTGTTTATTGAAGTTTTTTTTTTATTATTATTTATTTATTCAACAGTTTGCAGTATTTCCCCCAAGTCAGGACAGTTTAAGTGTAGGAGACTTTTGTAAAAGAAGAGTGTCAAAGAGAAAGGAGGTTCAGACTAGGAGTCTGGAGCACAGAACTGGAGTTGTAGAGCTGTTGCTAATAAGCCATGGAGAAGGGGAACCTTCTGAGTCTGTCTTTCTACCCTTATAAAACAGGGATAATGGAGAAACATAGGCCAAGAGTTTTGTCAAATGGAAAACAAACAAACAAAAAACCCTACTGCTGTCGAGTCGATTCCAGCTCATAGCAATCCCATAGGGTTTCTAAGGCTGTAAATCTCTATGGAAGCAGACTACCACATCTTCCTCCCGCAGAGCTGCTGGTGGTTTCAATCCTCTGACTTTTCAGTTAGGAGTCCGTCGCTTTAACCACTGTGCCACCAAGAATTCTTTGTCAAAAATGGAAAAGTAAGGTAGTATTAGTATTTGTTTATAAAAAGCAATTCACAGGGGTCTCTCAACATCTTATTATGACACAGAGGTAGATATACTTGTTAAGTATATCTTATTAAGTATATCTTGGTGGGAAGGGAGCTAAGTTATGAATCAAGTACTAACAAGTAATGAAATGGTCAAAACTTCAGGAGGAAGACTGCAGGCAAATGTCATGAATAATTCATAAACTGAATATTTCATCTGCAACAATGAACGACTTGTTTATTGACAATGCTTTTAACTTATACAGTCTTTCAAAAGGCATGATATCATTTAATTTCTAGCTGTCCTTCAAAGCAGGGCAAACGATTTCCTTCCCATTTTACAGAAAAGGACAGTCAGTGGGACATAAAGTAATACTCATGAAGAGTGTGCCTCTTAGTCAAGTAGATACAAGAGACCAAAGGGGCAGCTTCTGTCCAGAGGTGAGATGGAAAGGCAGAGAAGGTTAGGAGCTGATTGAATGGTCATGGGGAATCAGGGGCAGAAAAAGGAGGAGTGTGGTGTTGCAGAATGGGGCGAGCAATTAGGGTCTCATAACAATGTATGTATAAAAATTTTGTATGGGAGACTAACTTGAAATATAAACTTCATTTAACTACAAAAATTAAAAAAAAAAAAAAAGAAAAGGACAGTTAGGTGTGTTAGAGACAAACCTAGGGGCCCCACCTCGTTATTGACAGATGCAGAACTACTGTGACATGAAGAGTAGCTAGCGTTCTCTGTGCCAAGTACTGTGCCAGTCATCTCACCTGTATCACTATATTTGACCCTCCCAACAGCACTATGAAATACATGGTATTAGTATCTTCATTTTACAGATTGGGAAACTGAGGCTTAAAGTGTTGAAGTAACATATGTGAAGTTACATAGCTAGTGAGTGGCAGAGTTCAAAATGAAGCCTATCTGACTTAACACCCTGTGCACTCTGCAAGGTGGCCTTGTCTCTTGACTCCTTTGTTTAAGGTTCTTTTCACAAGTGTAAATAAGTATATTTCTATTTTCTAGCAACTGAGTTGAATAATCTTGTAATAATTGTTATTAAGACCTTCACCCAGCTTTGAAATGGCGGCAGCCAGTAACTAGTTTGTTTTCGTGGTAGCTTAGTTCTTGTTGTTGTTATCATTAGTTGCTGTTGAGTCGATTCCAACTCATGACAAACCCATGTGTGCAGAGTAGGGCTGCTCCATAGGGTTTTAGAGACTGTGGTATCTTAAATCTAGTGAGATAGAGACAAAGTAAAGAAAGATACAATGTAATTATAGGGGCTGTTTCTTCCAACAGGAGTACCTGGGTAGTGCAAATAATTGACTCGCTCTGCTGCTAAACAAAAGGCTGGAGGTTCAAGTCCACCCAGAGGCTCCTTAGAAGAAAAGCTTAGTGATCTACTTCTGAAAAATCAGCTACTGAAAACCCTATGGAGCACAGTTTTATTCTGACACACATGGGGTTGCCATGAGTTGGAGACGCCTCCATGGCAACTGGTATATTACCCAACAGAAAGCTGATGTTGGTAACACTGAATTCCTTTGTGTTGTCTAAAACACTTTTAAAGCCACATCAGTTCATTTATTCGTCAGATAGTTTATTCTTCAGAATGTCCACCACGTGTGAAGACTCTGAGATAAGTACTATGAATAATATAAAGTTCTTATTCTCATATACAGATAGAAAGTATAATGCACCAGAAGAAAAGAATAGGGGCATAAGTTTTATACATACGTATGCACACACACACACACACACACACACACACACACACACTCACACACAGTGCCAACGAATAACCGCTTGGCTGCTAACCAAAATGTCAGCAGTTCGAATCCACCAGCCACTTCTTGGAACCCCATAGGGCAGTTATACTCTGTCCTATAGGGTCACTTTGAGTCAGAATTGACAGCAACAGGTTTGGGGTTTTGTTTGTTTGTTTGTTTATATATATGTGTATGTGTATGTATAATTTATTTTTGTTGTTGTTGCTGAGAATATACACAGCAGAACATACACCAATGCAACAATTTCTACGTGTACAATTCAGGACATTGATTACATTCTTCAATTTGTGCAACTGTTCTCACCCTCCTTTCCCAGTTGTTCCTCCCGCATTAACATAAACTCAGACTCACTGCCCCTAGGTTCCTTGTCTAATCTTTCGAGTTGCTGTTGTCAATTTGATCCCATATAAATAGATATTAAAAGAGCACAGTGCTCAAGACAAACATTCAGTAGTTAAGCTAAACTACTGTTTGGTTTTAAGAAGAACTTTGGGGGGTATTTTTTGGTTTAAGATTTGAAGATTCTCTCAGAGCAATAGTTTCAGGGGTTCACCTAGCCTCCATGGCTCCAGAAAGTCTGGATTCTAGGGACATAGGTTTTTTCCACTGGAAAGAAAGATTGGCTCCAGTTATGGGAACCAGAAAGGGCTCCCAGGTAGAGGAGCACTTATTTTAACTCAGACCACTTCCTGGAAGGCAAACCCTTATGTAACCCTGATTGGTCATGTTTCTGAATTCCTATTGTTCTTATATTCTCTGCTTCTGGGTTGTAACTTACTTTCTCTAGATGTTTCGCGATTTGGTTAAAGATAACTCAAAGACAAATTCCTTTATGATTCTTATATGTCAGAATAGCTAGCACAGTGCAAGACATGAAGCAGGTGGTCAGTAACACCTCCACTGGTTAATTTAAGCTTTTTCTTTTGAGAGCCGCATAATCTCAACAGGCATACAGTTGTATTATGAATGTGTTGCTAATTGTAATTCCCAGATACAGCTTGGCTTACCTCTATTTCTTAAATTGTGCTTTTTTTTTTCTTGATTAGTGTTGAGTGATTTTCCCAAAGTAGACTAATTTAGACTGATATTTTAGATTTGTTAAGTGAATAATTTAAGGAAGGAATCCCAGGAACCCGCAGATTTAACCACATCCCTAATACTGCACGCTGGTCATTGGATATTTTCTGATAACCCAACATGCTTTTTCAGCACCCATCCTCTCTTCTTCAGGGAGAGGAAGTGACTCTGAATCTGACTTGCCTCATCGGAAGCTGCCAGATGTGAAGAAGGATGATATGTCTGCGCGGCGGACTTCCCACGGTGAGCCGAAATCAGCAGTGCCTTTTAACCAATACCTCCCGAACAAAAGCAACCAGACAGCCTATGTCCCCGCTCCTCTGAGAAAGAAGAAGGCAGAGCGAGAGGAGTACAGAAAGAGCTGGAGTACAGCCACTTCCCCCCTGGGTGGGGAGAGGCCCTTCAGGTAAGCCCTAAGCTTTGCTGCTTACTTCCTGGCCTGAGCGCGAGTGGTATTGGGTATACAGCTCCTGGACATGAGGTTAAGTAACCATTTTAGAACTTTGATGTAAAAGTGCAAGTGAAGGTGGACAGGACAGATCCTTGGAGACAGTTTGTCATGAATATAAGCTTCATCAGATTACCTGGAACAGTGTCTGGCACACAGTAGCTATTCAACAAATACTTCTCTAATAAGCAGGGTATTTTTTATTGTGGTAAAAAATATATATAACGTAAAATGTACCATTTTAATTATTTTTAAGTGTACAAGTCAGTGAAATCACTTGCATTCACAATATTGTACAACCATCACCACTTCAATTTCCAAAACTTTTTCAACACCCCAAACAGAAACTCTGTACCCATTAAGCAATAACTCCCCATTCTTCCTTTCCCCCTGTCCCTGGTAACCATTAATCTACTTTGGTCTCTATGCATTTGCCTATTCTGGATATTTCTTATAAGTGGGATTATACAATATTTCTCCTTTTGCGTCAGACTTATTTCATCAGCATAATGCTTTCAAGGTTTTTTCATGTTGTGGTAGGTATCAGAACTTTCTAACGAGCAGATTTTTGAAACGAGTTATACTGAGAGGACATTGAGAACACAGCTGAAAGTCTGTCACCCATGCCCTACCTGACTCCCAGTCCTGTTAAAGTAGGTGCAGACAGACTCTTATCTTTATGCAGAAAGACCCTTATCTAGATGCAGGTTTATCTTGATGCAAGCTCATGTACCAGGAATGCAAGGAACATGCTTCAAAATCACATGTAGAAAAACAGTCAGAATAAGTGGAAGATACATTTGATTTCTTATCTCTTTAGAGAAACAACCAGTGTTTTCCTTAATCTCTGATTATGTTTTTGTACTTATTTTTTCATTTATTTAATAAGGTCTCATTGTGTATCTACTGTGTACTAGGTGCTGTTTCCTAGTTACTGGGGACTCAGTAGTAAATAAGACAGAGTCCTTACCTTCAAGAAACTTATAGTCCAATAAAATAAACTTACATTCTGGTCTCATTCTTTCAGCAAAACCACCCTGATTGGTGCATGGTTATCTCTAATCATCCATCATTCCTATCGATGATTTTTCCATTGAAAAAACATTGCATTGGAAGTTTTAAGTATTGAACAAAACTAATGAATTTTCCCTTTCCAGCAGAAAAAGTTTTTGCCTTTCAATATCAAGTTTGAAATAGCTCTTAAACATTGTTGAAATTATGATGTATTATTAACAAATGGCTACATTTAATGTCCTTTATATTGCCAGGACCACATTGTATACTATGACTTTTTTTTTTTAAGTGAAAAGTAATATCAGTTTGGTTGGGAGATGAAATGTTATCTGACCCCTAGTCCTGTCTGTTAGTTTGGTTAACCATATTGTCCAACTCACTAGCTATCCTGAAACAATAGTGGAAGAGAGAAGTGAAGTGGGGTCTCCTTTTGAAGAGGACCCAGTCAGCCATGTGGACCTTGGTAGGAAGCCTTCTAATGGTGGGTTAGAATTACCCAGTGGCAGTGGTAAGGAGCAGCCTCCTCCAGAGGGGGCCACGGTGGCACCGGCTCCCAAGCCTGAAGAAAAAGATGCCGTTGAAATCCAAAAGCGCAGAAGGCTAGAGCAAGCTGGAATCAAGGTCATGCCGGCAGCACAGCGCTTTGCCAGGTTAGCTCTGGGGACCCAGGACCGGCCTGGCTTTGTGCATGCCTGAGCGTTTGGAATCTGCTTCGTGTGTTAGAGTTTCCATCTTGTTTTCCCAATTCCTGCTTTTCCCATTGCATAATTCCCTATTCTGAGCAAGTAGAAATAGTTACAGGCAGTCCCCGGATTACAAACAAGTTCCGTTCCTAAGTCTGTCTTTAAGTTGAATTTGTGTGTAAGTCGGAACAGTTAGGTATGGTTTGTATCTCAGTCAAATGTTTGTCTTAGTATATAGTGTACCTTCCTATGCATAAAAAAACATTAAAGAAACACTTCCAGATACACTAAAGCATCTTTAACATAATAATATGGTAATAATAATGTTTTGATGTATGTCACAAAGTAGTGTTTATTTGTTCTGTACCTCGAATTTTTAATTGAACAGGCTTTACAGGGCTTGGTTCGTAACTACAGGTTGTATGTAAGTCGTAAGTTGGACATTTGTAACCCGGGGACTGCCTATAATAGTCTTTACCTTAGGACATTCCCCTGTTATGTGCTCAGTTATTGGTTCTTTTAAGTGAGGGTGAAGAGTGGGCTTCTTGCTGCCTTCATTAGACTAAGCCCTAGTTGCATATTTGTGGTCAGTCACTTGTTGGCTGGGGGATTTACCTAGCAATAGTGTTTTATTTTTCTATTGTTTGTGGCTTGTTAATTTTCACACTACTCCTAAATGGCTCTTATCTTACTTTGCACCTAACTAGAACATAGTTTCTTTGGAAAGGGGAACTTTCTCCACAGAAAGAGTGGCTGGTTTACAAAAATCCACTTATTTTCTTTGCCCCAGGGGGAGTAGTAAGATTGAGTTTATTTGACTCATTTTCTAAAGCATGTTGCTTTAAAAACACATAAACAATAGGGTAGTTAATTCTCTTAATTGTAATAAAGGCAATAGTATACAGTCCTGATGGCTTCATATTACATTAAGATGGAAACTTTCAGCAAAGAAAGTCACAGAAAGCAGCTGGTTAATTTTCCTTATATAATAGCCACAAAGATCCTAATGAAATTTGGACAAGTTGCAATTTATAAAACCCTGTGCCATTTACTATTCCATTTCATTCTAAGAAGTAAATGACATACCCATTTTCCAGATGAGGAAACTGGGGACCAGTGATAGTAAGTGACTTGCAGGTCTAGAGTCAGTCACCCACTGGCCTGGTGGCCAGATTCAGATGTTCTGACCACAGCACACATCTACCTCCCACGCATTTAACGGAACATTTTCCATTTCTCTGTATATTTTCCATATGTGGTTATTTCTGTGGTCTAGGTCTTAAGTGAAAGATTAAGACTTTTATGGATTTAATCCTAGAGTAGTTTTGTATTTGTAAAAAACCAAGGATATACTTCTTCCCTGTCTATGGTATCCCACAGATAATCATGCCTACCCTAAGCATACATGTGCTTCTAGAAAACTCTAAAATAGATCTGTACTCTCTATTTCTGAAATAATGAAGAGAGTACAAAGACAGAACAAAGAGAGACCAAAAACAAATCCAGATATTATTAAAATAATCGATTCAGAGACCTTGTCACATACATGCTTTTTCAATATCACTTTAGCATCTACTTGTACCAGAGACCAGGCTAGATGCTGAGAATATAAAAATGAATAATATCCCCTCACCATGTACCATTTTTCAGACTCTTCTTGCTTCTATCTTCAACACCAGGGCACAGTGGGAGTGGGCAATGGTGATACAGATTAAGTGCAAATTTACCAAAAATGTTTATCTTAATGTCCTTGACACAAGTGCCTTTATTTTTTATCACATTCGTGAAGTGTTTAAGCTAAAATTTACGAAGGATGCCATCATCTTTAGAGTATCCAAAAGAGTTAAGCAAGGGAAGAGAAGTGGAAGCTACATTAAGCTAACTCAGAGCATCCAGGAGTAATAGTGATGAAGAGAAAGAAAAAAATTGGGCAAAGGCTAGAAATTCCATGAATGTACTATGCCCTTTCAGTAACTGAGAGCTCTATTTTGTAATAAAACATTAAACTCTTTTGTTACAACTCCCAATTCTGTGCACATAGATAGTATCACGGTTAGTTTAAACATTTACTTCTGTTTAATAAATGTTATGTTAATGTGACATTTTTTTCCTCCCATCTGTAGTTCCTATTATCAGGCCTAATTTTTAGCTATTTCATCCAAGTTAGCTTTTTTAAGCAGACATTTGTAGATCTGTTAATGTCATCGCCTCAGATCTTCTGACTTAGCTTTTGAAATCGGATCCAGGACAATGATGCATTCCCAGAGAATGTCCCCTGTAGCAACACAACACTGCTGCTCCAAACACCCAGAATTCATTTGTTAGACAGATATGCTGCTGCTAGCTCTCTTGTAAAATGTTTTACACATACCATGCCAGCAGGCTGGCGTGGCTGTGTCTCTGTCACTTATATTTTTGCAGGCCACAGCAGAGTTGAAAGTCATTCTAAGTTTATCCACATTTGGGATCCTGCTTTTAATGTGGTAGAAAGTAGCTTAACTAGAATGAAATGCATATCATAAAGAAGAAGAGGATTCTTGATGTCTGGGGAAGAAAGGATACATTGAAATATGCTGATGTCTCTCAAAGCATTTTAACCTCAGTGTCCTTCATTTGATATCCAGATGAATTCTGTACACCACATCTTTGAATCCAAAAGAGACCCAAGATACTTCCTGTGTCCCATTTCTTAGCTGGAAAATCTGTGTTTGTAGAGTATAGAGGGAGTCCCTGGGTGGTACAAATGGTTAGGAGCTTAACTATTAACCGATGGTGGTTTGAACCCATCCAGAGGAACCTCAGAAGACAGGGCTGGCCATCTGTTTTTGAAAGGGCACAGCCTTGAAAACCCTATGGAGCAGTTCGACTCTGCACACATGGGGTTGGCATGAGTCAGAATTGACTCAACTGGGAAGTAACAACCACTGCAAGAGTATAGAGGCATCTGGGAGCGAAGGAGGCGGATGGACCAAAAACAAAGCTTTACTTTATTATTATAATTAGTTCTTCTTTGTAAAAACTTTTATTGTGGTGAAATATATATATATATATATGCCATTGTGACCATATTTAAATGTACCAGTGACGTTAATTTGCAGTCACCATGTTGTGCGACCATCATCACTATTCTTTTACAACTCTTCATTATACTTAACAGAAACATCAGTGCTCCTTACAAAGCTTTACTTTCATAGAGTGTTTTTTGTTTCCCAAGTATTCTCACGTACCTTGTTTTATTTTTAAGAACTATATATAGAAAAAGGAGGAAAGGTTCCTGTTATTTCATTTTCACATGAGTTTAAAAGCTTAGAAGTCCCAAGTTTCCTGTCAGACTATATATTAGGAGATATCTTAGCATTAAGGGACAGAAAGTAGAACTTCTTAACAAATGTGTGGAGTTTAATATTTATTAGAGTTTCCATAGAGGTAAAAAGTATATAAACTACTTTTTTCTACTCTTTTATATTATGATTGAATTAGCTTAATTACTCTAAAATATAAGATCCTGCCAAAGAAGCCAAGGTTTCTGTTTTTAAGAGGATAAAATAAGAACCAAGATTCACTTCCCCTGACTTAAAATACCATGGAGATTTCAGTTCTTTTACTTGGTGTTTCCCATCGGAGAAATAAACTTTTTTTTTTTTAAACTGAATTATAGGTTTCACGTGATTGTACTTTGTTTCTAATTGTTTTCACATGTTTCAGCACTCAGTCTTTTCTGCTAGTCTGTGAATCTTCTTAACCACATAGTAATTAATTACAGAGAGAAAAAAGTCTCCAAGGAACAATAGATATTTTAAAAATCTTTAGAGGAAGAGCAGATGCAACTAAGTGCCAGACCCATATTCCTAAGTCGCTCCTTGCCAGATGCCTGTTTCACTGATTGTAGCTGAACAGAGTCTTGGTTATTGGGGAACAGTCTGACACATAATTTTCAGGAAGCTTTGTGACTCTGGAGTCAGTTGCCCTGTTTGGAGACGAGTGAACAGGGAGGTTTCTGGTGTTGCCCAGGACGTTCCCAGGGGGCCTAGCAGGCTTTTCTGGAGAGCCCAGTTTCTTTCAGTAGAATAAACTGACTGCCAGTCTGAGCTGGTTGTTTCTGTGTTGTCAAGTAAAAGGGGGTGAAAGAAAATGCCAGCTCTTCCTTCGTTTAAATCATTGTCTCATTCACTTTGAAATATATAAGCCTTAGAAACTTTGAGACAACAGCTTTCCCCCGCCCCCTTCACCTGCTTCAGGCCCATACTCTCTCCTACCATGATAGCCTTACTTGTTTCAGAGGGGACTGGACAGAGTGGCCAGGTTGGAGGCAGGGCTTGGCACTTACTGTGTCACTTTGGACTGTACTCCTTCTACGTGAAACAGTGAGCTGTGCCCACGGTGCAACCCCTTTTTCCCAGAGCAACTCATCTGAGAATGACTTGAAATACTAAAATGCCAAATCTTTATGGATATGAAGCCAGACAGTCTTGGGTCTGCCCCTTACTTAAGTTACGTAAGTTAATTTACCTAAGTTCAGATAATTTGAACTAGAAGCCTCAATATTCTCCTCTGCTAGGTGGGTATCGTAATTTCTAGCTTGCAGAGTTATCATCTAAGTTAGCACACCTGGAATGTAGTAGCTGCTCAGAGAATTGTAGTTATTGAAAAATCAAGTAAAATATACCAAAGCTTTCCATTAAGGTCCTTAAAAAAGAAAAAAAGCAGATTATAAGTCATTTAAATATTTTGGTAACTAGACACCTGTGAATACATTCCTGACATATCTGCCTTATTTAAAAAAAAAGTTACCGTCAAGTCCATTCCAACTCATGGCCACCCTACGTGTGTCAGAGTAGAACTGTGCTCCATAGGGTTTCAGCGGCTGGTTTTTCAGAAGCTGATTGACAGGCTTTTCTTCCGAGGACTGGAACCTCCAACCTTTCGGTTAGCAGTGGAGAGTATGAACCGTTTGCACTGGGCAGCGACTCCATCTGCTTTATACATAGCATTTGTTACTCCTTGGCCAACAGTGCCAGCCCAGAATTTATATCATTATTTTTTTCTCTGTGTGAGTCTGTGTTGGAGCTCTGAATGTACAGGATTCAAGCAATTAGCGGAAAATCAGTCATTGTGACAGTTTTTTAAGGGGGCGGATGAATGTCTTAAGTAGCCAGTGATACGGAAAGCTTTCTTCACCCTGTCCTTTTTTAAGTCCACATATCTAAATTGAGATCACTTGAAGTGAGCCCTGTCACGCTGGGCATGTAGCCTAAAAAGGAGCGCCCAGAGGAATTTGTAGCCTGGCTGGGCTGGCATGATGCATAAGGTACCAGCTTCTCCCTGCTCAAATTGGCATCACAATTTGGCATGACCATTTGCATAAATGGGTATGTTTTGTTCCAGAGAATTCTGGCTGACCTGAGGGAGGTTGAAGTACAGGACCCTCAGTAAAAAAGCACAAAGACTGCTCCTCTTGGATTTGAGGGGTTCAAGCTAAGATCTGCTCCTACACCGGGATTAGAATAGGACTGTCTTCTCTGAACTTCAGTTTCTTCATCTATAACATGTCTTTCACAGAGTGGCTGTGAGGATCAAGTGAGATGAGAAAGTGAATTTAAAAGAGATTTATAAACTGTAAAGCATTGTGGAAATATTATAAGGTATGATTAGTAAGAATTCTATTGTCATCAGTCCTGGCTCAAGATTGCCGTCTATAACCAGGAGGGCAAACCACGGCTCCATTCTAAACACAACTCACAGGTTCCCTTTATTTAGTGACCAAAATATTTATCTTTCTCCTGCTTCCGTAGTAATGATTATGCCTCATATTTTTAATGATGTCATACTTTCAAAACAGGACTGGTCCTTTATTTAATGGATGTTGTTGTTGTTGTTAAGTGCTGTCGAGTGGATTTTTGACTCCTAGCAAACCCATGTGATAGAGTAGAACTGTCCCATAGAGTTTCCTAGGCTGTAATCTTTATAGAAGCAGATCACCAAGTCTTCCTCCTGCAGAGCTGCTGGGTGAGTTCAGATCACTAACCTCTCAGTTAGCAGGTGAGTGCTTAACTGTTGAGCCATCATTCTATTTAATGGATAGTACACTGGTTAAGAACAAGGTCTCTGGAGCCAGACTGCCTGGGTTTGGGTCTTGACTTAGGCATTAGCTGTTTGAACTTGGGCAAGTTTGTTAACCTTAGCTTCTAGTCTACAAAATGGGGATGATAATAACTCTGAAATTGCAGAGTTATTATTATGGATAAATGAGTTAACTCTTAGAAGGACTCCTAGCACATTGATAATCCTTAGCTGGATTCATTGTCATAATTAATGGACTTCTTAAATGATGCCTTTGTAGGCATTAAGTCAATGACCTATCATTCCCTCACTGACCATAAGCTCACAATCAACCAACACCAGTTGGTCTTTGCTAGACTGTTGGCTAAGGAGTCAGGGGAGCAAGCATGGAGGAGAGCGAGCAGGGTCCTGGGAGTGAACAGGCAGGAGAATGAGGGTCAGGTACAGAACTCAAATGGCAGGATTTCCTATATTAAGAAATAAATATACTCAAGGAGCAAAGCACCCCCCACCCAATTCCATGTTTTAAATTTTTATTGGGAACAATGGTCAGCAATGAGAAGGGGTTTTCTGGGCATGACTAATGAGGATTTCATTTTCCAGAAGTCAGATAGAGTGAGGGACTGCTGTAACCCCCCTTTAAAGATGGTGGCCTGCCTTCTCTGAAACACCATAGAGCAGATCAACACACAGTTGGGCCTCCTGGTTGACCATAGTGCACAGAGTTTCACTGCTCATTTAAGTCTTAAAACAGACTAATTCCTCCTATCTTTATTTCTGAGATGAGTTGCCCTTTGAGGATGTATAATTTACTCATAATCCTCTCTCTGAAAGCAGGTACAAAGTAGGTGAGCTTTCTTTAGAAGTTAAGATATTTTATTTACTTATCATCCTTATGAACTGAGAAGATAATAAATAATGAAAAAAATGGTTTTGACATTTTACTATTATTTAGAAGCAAGGCTGGTTTTATGAGTAGGTAGGGGGATTTGTTCAAATACCAAACCCCAAAATCAAACCCACTGCTGTTGAGTCGTGAGCCCATAAACCAGAAAAAACTAAATCCGTTGCTATCCAGTCAATTCCTGCTCGTAGTAACCCTAAAGGACAGAGTAGAACTGCCTTATAGGGTTTCCAAGGAGCAGTTCGTGGATTCAAAGTGCAGTCTTTTGGCTAGCAGCCTGAGCTCTTAACCACTGCACCACCAGAGACCCTATAGAACAGACTAAAACTGCCCCATAGGGTTTCCAAAGCTGTCAATTTTTACAGAAGCAGACTGTCACATTTTTCTCCTGTGGAGTGGCTGGTGGGTTCAAACTGCTGACCTTTTGTTTAGCAGCTGAGTAGTTTAACCACTGCACCCCCAGGGCTCAAATGCCAGATAGGCACAATTCACTGTGCACTGTCTCCCAAAATAAAAACGAAAATGAAAAAGTCCCAGGGCTTAATGCCTAATATGCCACCATTAAACTGCGTTCCTCTAGGAATTTAAAGTTCGGGGCCTTAAAGATCCCCTTTGAAAGTAGAAAGAGCCCATAGTAATCATTTTTAACACGTTCTGGCAAAATATCTTAACACAATTTACGTGAAATCTAGAATGTAACGAAGAGGAGCTTGGAGGTAGAGAGCCATGGGGATAAAGGAGGGAGGAAAGGGCTGCTGATGGGAGGATGCAGGCAAGATAACCCTTTATGCTTTGAGTTCATCCAGTGAGTGGCCATAAGCTATGCCAGATATTTCAGGTTAGCATAGTGTTGCAGAAAGCCCTTCCTTACACTTTGCAATCTGGTGCACATTCTAGGTATGCTGCCCCATAGCTTTGTTCATTAGCAGCTGCTTTCCCCCAGCTCAATTTTTTGATTGCCTAACTTTCTGCCCTGTCAGTTAAAAACAAATTGAGTACCTACTGAGTACATTACTAATGTGCTAAAAATAAAACAACTGTAACAAAAAGCTCCCTAGTTTTCCCCCAATTTCATGAAAAGAATTTGGATTATCACTTTCAGAGCCATTTAGGATCCTGCCTCTCTGATGCTGATGGGTTCCTGTAAGTGTATTTCGAGTGTTGCTAGTAACTGACTAGATTCAAAGTTTTAAAACCCACCCTAAGCATGCTTCCATTTTAGACTGAAATAATAAACAGTTGTCATCACAACTAACGATACTGAGAAGATCTTTCACTAACAACCCAGTTGTCTGTCTGGAGATGGGAATTTTTTTTATGTTTTATTGATCTGGTCACATGTGGAGTTCCATTTAATTTTGCTCTATCAGTCGAAAGCAATTAAGTGATGACAAAGAAGCTGTTCGTGATATTATCCTGCGCAAAGAAAACTCGTTCCTGGCTCACCAACAAGGCAAAGATTCGGAGTCTAAAGATGAAGTTGCATGTCGGCTGCCTGATCTTGAGAAAGATGACTTTGCTGCAAGGAGAGCAAGGATGAACCAGATCAAGCCAATGGTGCCGTTGAATCAGCTGCTGTATGGGCCTTACCGAAAAAAAGAGCCAGAGAAATCAGATGGCAGCAAACAACTCTCAAAGGGAATCTCAGAAAGGAAAACTCTAGAATTTAAAAGGTGTGCATCTTGTGTGTGCGTGTGAGAGAGAGAGAGAGCATAACTAAATGAAGGTGATTTGTATTATCACTCCCTGTTTCTCTCTTTCCTACACCAGTTTCATACCATTTGGAATGGTAGTTTCTTCTTATTCTGAAATGGAACTCCAGACATCCAATCCCTTAAAGGCAGATGGCAGATGTTAGAGTGGCCATGTCCAAATTAAGGCTGAATTTGCCAAGTAAACATTGAATTCCAGTGTGCAGATGTGCTATATCAGGGCGCATCAGCACATATGGACGCTAGTGTCATAGGTTGGCATTATTGGCATAAATAGTCTTGTGCCATTGCCTATCAGGCGACAGCTTCCTTTCAAGGCTGCTCCAGCCCATTCATAGGAGACATAAAGCCATACAGCCTTCTCTCATTAGCTCCTTTTAGATGTTGGAAAGAAAAAATATGAGAGTTGCTCTTTCTTCCCCCATACCAGCTAGATCACCTGGGCATTTATTGATGGATATTTCCCATCAAAAACACTTTTCAAACATATAATATGATATAATACACTTATTTGCTCTATCGTGAAAACTGTTTTCAAGTGAGTTTCCTTCACTCAGCCTTTCTGCTATCCTCCTAATGCATATTGGAGTGAATTTGGAAAAGGAAAATCGTAATGAGATAGGATTTGGCTAGTGATTTTTATCCTAAGAGGGCTATGATTTTATGTAAGGTGTCAGCTTGCTAAATTTCATCCTGCAGAGTTTATCATTCTTGCATTTTTCCTTATATCAAAGTTGGTTCAAGTTTGCATCTTCATTATTTAATTGCCATCTTTTTTGCCCATTGCTTTAGAAGTCTTGTAAGACTGTTAAACTAAGCATATGAATATGTCAGCTGTGTTTTACACAATTAAATTTTTTTTTTTTTTTTGAATGAAGTCATTGAATTTGGGGAGGTGTTAGTGTTTTTAAAGGAGTGGTAGATAGAAAACACATGAAACATCTCCAGATGTAGAACAGGGATTAGAGCACAGAAAACCTGGCATCATTTTTTCACAAGTCACATTATAGCTTCAGCAGGCTCTTGGTCTTTGAGGTCCTTGTTCGCATGCCTTGTAACAAACCATTCTTGGAGGGCCTTGTAGAAGGGATCAGTTGTTGCATGTGAAACAAAGTCTTTTGGATAACCAGCGAGCATCAGGGGATATTGATGAGGATCAGCAGCTTGAGTTAGGAAAAGGAGTAGCTTTTTTAGCTCCTTTTTTTCCTTTCTCTCCTATGCAATTTTAATTCCTGATATTTCCAGCTGCATTTGTCTGTTTGGGGACATGAGTCTGGAGCAGCCCATGACCTCTCTAGACAGCATCAAAAAACTGATTTAAAAAAAAAAACCAGGAATGGTCCCTGATGATTCTTTGCTCTGCCCTTCATTGATCCCCTTCCCCAAAGTGAAAGAAAATGGAAAATTCTGTAGCCTTCCCTGTTTGCATAGGCTCTGCAAATACACCAAATTGTCCAGGTAACAAAAGAATGTATCTTGGTTTCCTGACTTGGATGATATATTTTTGTTTTTTTGATAAATAAACCTTATTTGTGTATATTGTTGAGATTTTCTATCACAAGAATCATATTTAGCTAAAAATTAAATTTTATGTGATAGAATATGTATACTTACAGATTGCACAGCTTTAAGTTACAACTTTGTCAGCATTAGCCAGCTATTGTTCATTTCTTAGAACCATTAGAAATATCATTTTTAGCATCAATGAAGGTGACAGCTGTTAGCACAATAAATAAATGGGCATTAACTGTAAATACAGGTAAAGAAGATACCATTTTTCTTCAAGTTTACATTGGCCAAACCTGACTAACGTTATCATCAACCAGAGACCAAATTTGAACATTGAAAATTTTTGTTAGTAATTGATTTAAATGTACTTTCTGGCAGCTCTGGGTTTATGGTTGCAATGTTTAATATCTGAACAACGTTCCAGTTATCTCAAACTAATCTGAGAATTTGGATCACGCAGAGCTCGTTATGAACATTTTACTGATGCAGTAAAAGACATTCCGAGAGGGCTAAGGGATTCAATCAGAAAACTTGAATTCATTACAGTAACTTGAATAGTGTGGGAAATGGGCATCATTACTGTCAACCGAAATCTCATTACCGTTCTTAATAGTCTTTCAATGAGCCTTGGCTTCTTTTCCTTAACTGAACTAGAGACAGTCATCTGGTGGAAAAACTCTGTCTCATTATAGTGTTAAAAGGGAAGCAGAGATGAAAATAATCACAGCTCCAATTGATTCCATATTTTTGAGAAAGGAAAAGTTGCTCCCGTCATTTCCTTCTGTCCTCAGCCTCTGAATTTCCATGCTTGATATTCTGTTTGTTTGCTCCCCTTCCTTGAACCTGATTTTTCCAATGATGTGGGGGTTGGATCAAATTGACAGGAACCTGGGCCAAACACAAAAGGTGAAGGCAAAAGTGACCTGTATTCCTCGAGCTCAGGAGAGTGAACCTGTGGAGGAAGGACTCAGGAAGGTGCCTGATCTTTACAAGGATGACCTGGCACAGCGGAGGATTCAGGGCAGCCTCACTCCGCACCGTGAGGCTCCGAGCTTTGTCACAGTCTCCAAGATAACAGAAGCTGACTTGGAGACATGGGAGAGGCTGAAAGTGTCAGAGAAGACAAGGTGTGTCATGTTTTCCTGTGGTCTTGCTTCCTGGCAGGGGTTTTATTTAATTTTGAAAGAATGAAATGCTTATCCTTGTATCATTTTTGTTTTGATGGCTTGAAAAAAGTGCCTCTCAAAACACAGAGCTTCTAGAGAACACCATAGTCTGCATGAGTTGAAGTTTATTAATATGAAAAGTTATAAACGACTTGGACAGAAAACATCCCTTTTAGGCCAACCAACTTATTGCGAATGGTTATTTATTTTTACAGGCTTGTTTACTGCAAGGAATTTAAAATTGATTTTTTTTTAATTTTAATTATTTTGTCATATCTAAGACTTTCTTATGCCATCAATTATTATGCTAGAAGTGATGCTTTAAAAACGATTTACCTGAACGTGGGGAATCAGGTGGGAAGGAGGAATGTGCTGTCACAGTAAGGGGAGAGCAATTAGGGTCACATAAGAACGTATTATAAATTTTTGTATGGGAGACTAACTTGAAATGTAAACTTCATTTAAACTACAACAATAAAAAAAAGATTAAGGAAAAAAAAAAAACTATTAACCTGAGTGTTGTTTACCTGAGCAACACAATGATCATTTTATTCATTTGATTAATTAAATAGCAATTCTGCTCTACCATAGAAGTTTTTTTTTTTTTTTTTTTATGTGAGTGGCACAAATGGTTAAGTGATCGACTACTAGCCAAAAGGTTGGCGATTCAAACCCACCCGGAGGCACCTCAAAAGAAAGGCCTGGCGATCTGCTTCCAAAAGGTCACAGCCTTGAGAACCCTGTGCAGTAGTTCTGCTCTGCACACGTGGGGTTGCTATGAGCCAAAATCAAGTCGACGGCAACTAACAACAACAACAGTATTAAAAAAAAAAAAACCTCTTATTAATTTGTACTTAACCTTAGAGACTTTTGGAACTTATTTCTGATTCTGACCAGGGATGGAGATGTTCAGCACATCTGCACCCCTGAGCCTTCACCAGAAATCAAAGCAGAAACAGCCATCCGTGATGACTTTGCCAGTCGCAAAGCAAGGGCCTATAAAAAATCTTCTAGCCCTCGGCAAAAATTTGTGCACTTTGGACCGGTGACAGAGATAGATCAGCAGAAATGGAAGCGGCTCAGCATTGGCAAGTCCGGGCCTAGGGAAGATGGAGAAGAAGTCGTCAGTTACAGCAGCAAGATTCAAGCTTACTCTGTGTCCCCTGCCTCAGTGGCTGCTCCCAGCTCAGAGGAAGACCACATGCTTAACCCACAGAATGACTGCAGGTATTTTTCATCAGACATATGCAAGCAGATCTGCATGGGAGCCACTGCTGCTTTTAAAGAGTTCGCTGAAGCATATTAAACAAACCTCTAGAGATGACAGCATTTTGCTGAGTAGCAGAGAAAGCAACGTTAACAGGTCACATTGTGTGCGAATTTAAATTTAAATATGATGTCTGCCATGTAAATTCATACACATGAGGGGAAGCATGTGTGTGAATTTACATGGCAGGTGTCCACTTTGATTCTGTTTTCACCAGAATCACTGCCTGGGAATGCCAATAATCTCGACAAGTGACCTTTACCCCTTGGCTACATTAAGCATTATGTTATTAGCTGAAAATACTGAATATGGAATGTTGTAAAGATATCACTAGTATTTTGTCTAAAGATGTAGTGATAAAAATTGGTTTTATCTGTAACCTCCCTCTTTCCTGTCCCATGGAGGGAGGAACAAATAGTAGTATCATAAGTTCAAAGTTTGAACGTCTAAGTAGGCACACACAAAAAATAAAGCACTCCTCCCTCCCCTGCTTTTTTAACAACAAATCTTGACTAGAAAAGGACTCCTCTTTTGGAGGTGAGTTCCTATAAGTCAGGGGTTTCTTTGGGCAAATCACAGTCCAGATCTGTGAGGGAACGCCTGGATAAAGACCACAAAGATGCATTACCACTTCTCAACCTCACTGGAGGCCATCCAGCTTTCAATTCCCCAGCCCTCTTCTGGGAATCCAGTTCTGTGGGCTAGTCTTCTCTTACATGAAGCAGATGTAGGGCATTTCTAAGACTCTGGATTAACCTGGAAACTTCCATTCCACCTGCATGGTGGGAGCAAAGCAAGGCTCTCCACGGCAGGAGGAAATGCTTGAGGTAATCTCCTCCATGTTTTGTCCTTGAAATCTAAGAGAAATGGTCAATGAGCCATGATGTACGGAACGGTTTCTTTGTTTCTAGACTGTGAATAACACCATAGAGGAGAGCATGTTGTACAGATATATAAGCTAATACACCAGAAACACATAGTTGGGATTTCAGTGGCTGACGGGCCTGGAGGGGTAGAGGTAAGAAGTTAATAAGAAATACATCCTCAAGTCTTTGAAACCCGGGAGGGCCATCACTCAGTCTCCTGATGCCAGGGTCATGCAGGCTGGCTTGACTTTTCTCAGGCCCTTACCAGAGTTTACATTCCATGATCTCAATCTGATTATATCATCCTTTGTTGTTGTTAGGTGCTGTTGAGTTGGTTCCAACTCATAGCGACCCTGCGTACAACAGAACGAAACACTGCCCAGTCCTGTGCTATCCTCACAGTTGTTGCTGTTTGAGCCCATTGTTGCATTTATTGCAGCCACTGTATCAATCCATCTTGTCAAGGGTCTTCCTGTCTTTCTCTGGCCCTCTACTTTACTAAGCATGATGTCCTTCTCCAGGAACTGGTCCCTCCTAATAACATGTCCAAAGTACGTGAGACAGGGTCTTGCCATCCTCCCTTCTAAGGAGCAATCTGACTGTACTTCTTCCAAGACAGATTTGTCTGTTCTTCTGGCAGTCCATGGTGTATTCAGTATTCTTTGCCAACACCATAATTCAAAGCCATCAATTCCTCTGTCTTCCTTATTCATCGTCCAGCTTTTGCATGAATATGAGGCAATTGAAAATACCATGGCTTAGGTCAAGCGCACCTTAGACTTCAAAGTGACAACTTTGCTTTTTAACACTAAAGATCCTTTGTGTCATCCTTACTAACCGGCTTTTGGAATGAGAGCAGCTCCCTCTCCTAATCATCAGCTTCTTTCTGTCCCAATGAATTTTGTTTCCTTTCCTGACTCTTTTTCCTCTTCTCTCTTGTCACCAATGCTACTTGATTATCAGCACAATAGGGAATTCTGGCATAGATGACTATGGTAAAAGGGTCTCAAGGCTGGCTCCTGTGTTGGAGACTCAGGAGGAGGACGTCTGCGGCTTGGGCGAGTGCCCAAGGAAAACCGAGGAAGGTGAGGAGCAACACTTCCTGCCTCCCCAGGAGGTGGAGGATGACAGGTGGGGTCAGGGCCTCTGCTATGAATTCTTGCCTTGTAGTAAAGCTGTCCTCTCTGGCTTTAGTTACATCCAAACAGTTGCCACAGGATGGAAAAGAAGGGAACGAAGGAGTTGCTCAAAGAGATTCTGAGATACTGCCAGAGGCAGAAAGATCTGAGGAGAGAAGCCAGCCACTGTGAGCGTCTTACTGCATTCCTTGTTGCGCTGCCTCTGCTGTATGTGGCTGTTGTTTTAAAAAAAAATAGCTTAGAGACACAGTATGCAACTGATGACTGGTGTGGAATGGAGTGAAGCCATTTAAAGGAATGTGCCCATCCAAGGATCACAGTTCCACTTCCTGGGCCCCCTTGGAGTAGAGACTGTAGCCTTTGCATGTGGTTGGGTGCTGGCCGTATTTCATTCTTGAAAGGCTTTTCTCTCAGGAATCATGAAAACCATAAAGGGAAACCCATTCCCCTGTAAGTACCAGCTGCATGATGAAGGTTCATGGTATTAAAAAAGGGGTCTCCTACTCAGCTGCTATGTGTGCTGCTGCCTCCATGGATATTGGCTTCTTCTGTGTTGAGTTAATGCCAGTGAGTGATGCTACTGAAAATGTCCTGAGCAATAAATGGCCTTTGACTGGCTGGACTGACTGTTGCTCTAGTTGGTGCCCTCTGGCCTCTGAGTGTGAGGCTTCAGGGGCAGAAGAGAACTCAAAGAAGGTGGCAGCTCCTACCTGGAATGGCAGTGGAGTGAAAGACCGAACAAAGCTGTCTGACTCACGAAAAGATGACATGATGGCCAGGAGAACTGGGGTGTCCCTTAGACACACTGGATTCAACCCAAACCAGTTCCTTCCGGTTCCATTTGCAAAACAATAGGATGTGGAGGTATCAACCAAGTGTCCAATGGTGCAAGATAAGAGGTCAGAGGTTGCTCTTTGACCTTGGACTTTGTTTCTCCAGCCTGAGCCTTGATATACTCTGAGCTTTGAATGTGCTGTTAATGCATCATGGTGCATCAGTGCCACTTACCTGCTGTTGCTAGTAGCTACGGAATGATTAAAATTTGGCCAGGTCTGCCAAGAATTTTTTTCTTTTTTGCATGTAAGCAGATGTGGAAAGAGTAGTTCAGTAGTGAATTTATCTCTTAAAAGATTCTTTCTGACTCTCATCTTGTGGACAGAATAAATGAGAAACACTTTTATTTCTGCCTAGCTCACCTAGGAGCTTTCTGGTAAAGGTGTTGAATTCTTTCTGACATAATTGATTTAACTACTCTGATTTCAGGAGGGTCTTCAGGTCCAAAGAAGGTGTATACTACCTATAAAATTTGTAATTTGATTTGTTTTAACTTCAGCATTAGCAAAAATGAGGTGCCTTCTGGAGACAGGGTTTCTGTCCCACACTCTGACTTGATTTAAGATGAGGAATAGAGAAATAATACTCCTTTGGGGTTTGTGTTATGGTTTAAGGCCCTATATGTTGAAGCCTCTGTTGCCATTTAGTAAGAGTGTGGCCTGCTTGATCGATGTACAGGGAAAGGAGTGAGGGGTGTTTCTGCTTAATTGTAAGTTCCATTATAAAACAGGAAGTAATGGAGTTCTAGTTCACAAAGGACCTCAATGGTAGTGGAATGGAGGGTAGAGTAGTGATCAGGAATAACCTTAAGTAATTCCAAAATTTTTAAAATATGATCTTAGCCATTGTTATCACTTAGATTTAATCTATGTTTTATATTTATTTTGGATAATATGTATTAACACTAGAGTCTTATTAACACCAGCTTCAGGGAGCAGAGTCCCTGAATGGTGAAATGGTTAAGGCGCTTAGCTGCTAACCTAAAGGCTGGAGGTTCTAGTCAACCCAGAGGAGCCTCGGAAGAAAGGCCTGGCCATCTCCTTCCAAAAAATCAGTCACTGAAAACCCTGTGGATCACGGTTCTGCTCGGACACACATAGTATCATCATGAGTCAGAATCAACTTGACGGCAACTGGTTACTGGTTTGGGGGCGAGGTTGATCTGTACTTTTCTTTATAGCTGTAGAGTGTTTTATATCCTTCTCAAAGTGCATCTGCTTCCTCTAACTCACTTTCTCCTTGGTATCCATAAGTGGGTTCAGTCAATGTTAGTGCCATTTCACAAATGGGAAGGCTGATGTAGAGAGAAGTTAAATGAATGGATCACTTGTGGATCCCAGGCTGGTTAGTGACATTGGGACTGCTCAGTCTACCACAGTCACTCATTTTCCAGATGTCTCTGACATGATGCTTGGGCCTAGATCGGGGGATGAACGCAAGCTAGAGTGAAAGGAAAGAAGGAAGTGAGGCCTATAGGCTGCCTACTGGAAACATTATAGGGACTTTCCCATGTATTTACTGCTCACACAACCTTTTAGACTGTTTTCATCTGCATTTTGCAATCAGGGAATGGAGGCCCAAGTCTACATGGCTAGTAATTACAGAACCAAGATTCAAACCCAGCTGTGAGTGAAAAACCACTATTGAGACAGCACATTACCTGCACAAGTTAGGAGAAGAGACTGCAGAAGTCTGATGAATTGCCTGTCACTTGTATCTGTCCCTCCATTTATGGTTTAGAAAGAGTCCTCTTTATATTCTAATGGGAATGAAGGATTCGCTTTAGCACAAGGAGGTACAGTCATATTAATTATGTGGCATAATTGTGTGATTGAACAAACATACATCTTGGGAATTCATATTTATTTGCCACAAACATTTATCAAGTAATTAATATGTGTATGGGGCAGTGGTAGTTCAGTGGTAAAATTCTCGCCTTCCACACTGGAGACCCAGGTTCGAATCCTGGCCGATGCAGCCCATGCACAGCCACCACGTGTCTATCAGTGGAGGTTTGTGTGTTGCTGTGATGCTGAACAGGTTTTCTTTTCAATTCTCAGAGCATCCAAATGACTTATTCAATCTTTCAATAAACACTTATTCAGCGCCTACTCTGTTCACTGTTCGGGGAATCCAAACAGAAAAATCCCTGCTCTCATGGAGCTTATGTTTGAATGTAAATCTACATGTTTTGATAGAGATGTCTGTGAAATGCTGTTAAGTATTTTGCGTAGAAAAAATTTAAATTCAAATATATTCTACATGCAACAACATAGCAGAGCCTCACAGACGAAATATTGAGCTAAAGAGGCCAACCTCAAAAGAGTGCATCAGCATGAATGTGTTTATATAAAGTAGAAAACATGCAAAACTCATCTATGGGTGCATTCAGTTTGTGGAAATTCATCGAGGTGTATGTGTATGGTATATATGTATGTTGAATATCATCAAAATGTTAACAAAAGTATTCAAATACAGATACAGAAACACATAATGAATGCTAATAGTTTATTTCCAGATTAACTATCCATTAGGAATAACTTCCTTGCTGTCTTCCATAGATAATTTAGAAATCACTATGTTGTTGTTGGGTACCATCAAGTTGTTTCTGACTCATAGTGACTCCATGTCGCAGAGTAGAACTGCCCCATAGGGTTTTCTGGCCTGTAATCTTTACGGGAGCAGATTGACAGGTCTTTCTCCCACAAAGCCATTGGGTGGTTTTGAATTACCAACCTTTTGGTTAGTACCTGAGTGCTTAAGTGTTATGCCACCAGGGCTCCTTAGAAATCACTGTATGGTGGTGCAAACAGTTTATGCTTGACAACAAACCTAAAGGTTGGCAGTTTGAGCCTACCCAGCAGTGCTGCAGAAGAAAGGCTTGGCAATCTGCTTCCATAAAGATCACAGCCATTGAAAACTCTGCTCTGTAACAATGGGGTCGTCGTGAGTGGGAATCAACTCGATGGCAATAATTTTTTATATTTGAACAAGTCTATTGCAGTAAGCCTATTTATTAACTGGGAGACATTTATCCAAAATCCTCAGAATTAACACAGCTCACACATTCCATCTTGATGTGTAGAGATCCACTCATCATCTATTTCAATGTGGTAGTGTTTTTGGAAAATTAGGTCTATTAGGTTAAACTTGGAGCCCTGGTGGCACAGTGGTTAAGAGCTCAGCTGCTAAACAAAAGGTCAGCAGTTCGAATCCACCAGCCACTCCTTGGAAACCCTAGGGGGCAGTTCTACTCTGTCCAGTAGGGTCATTATGAGTCGGAATTGACTTGACAGCAGTGGGTTTGGTTTTTGCATTTTAGGTTAAACTTTAGAACCTTCTGAAATTATTCCCCAGAGAAACAGAAGATGAGTCTTCCTGCCAGAAGATAAACATCCACAAACCCTTCCCTTGTCTTGCTTTTACGATTTCAGCAGAAATATTGGGCTTTGCACTGATGTGGTTGCCTTCAGTGTCAATGAAAATAACTCTTGATGAATGCAGACTGGTCTAGAATGAGAAAAATCCAAGAAAGAAGGATGTGTGTGTGTGTGCACCCATGCATTCCAGGGCCTTTTCTCTAAGATTATAGGAAGTGATCTTTAGAAATTACTCTTTTCCCTATAAACTTCTATGAAAGTTGAACATGAGACCAAGTAATTTTTCCTGACCACCCCAAAATTTTATTTATTGGAAACTGAAAGCAAGATTTTTTTTTTTTTGCTCAAATAATTCTTTGTCCACTGTCAAGAGTACGGAAATGAGCAGCCATTCAGGATCTAGGTAAGAGACTTCCCTTAAAACTGGCATTTTCTGAGGAGGCCGTCATTTGAGGGAGCTGCTTTTTAAGAATACGCTTGAAATATGCCCTTGTAATGTTCTAATTTTTTTTCTAATTTGATCTTTGTGTTATCAGACACACTTAAGCTTAACGCAGTTATATTGCCGGGAGTATGATTTGATAGATCTATATAGCCAACAGAATATAAAAGATTGGAGAAAAAAAACTATGGTTTTTCAAGTTATGGAATATCATGCAAGTCTGGTTTTGATTAAGGCTGCCGGTTTTCTAGGAATTGTGGTTTTTGTCAGATGCATGCGGAAGGCAGTGATTGGGGTTCTGGTTGGAGCTCTGGTTTGCTTTCAGAAAACTGTAGAAACACTCTTTGATGTCAGTTATGCCAATGCATTAACACATCAGGGAAATGGTCAGTAAGCATGTGCTTATATGGTGGGTATCCATTACAGCTGAAAATAAAAGCATGAACAGTTCAACTGTTTGTCAATGAGCATAACATAGGTTTTCTTTTCTTTTTTAAGCTGCCTTCTCTAAACATTGTGGGTTGCACCTAAGCCTTTTTGTGTTTATATTGAACAGATTCTTTCTTTGTGGGTAGTACACGGATTATTTTCATTTCTGCTCTGGGTTTTAATACACATTTTGCGTTCTTTAAAAATGTCAAGATCTTTCCTTCATTTTAAGCAGCTAATGAGTATTGCAAATTGTATAATGACACTTCTTTTCCAGAATCATCAGCGAAGAAGTTTGGCACACGTAAATTTCACCACAGGTTTTTATTTCCAGCTTGGTTACAGCATTAACTTTCTGTCTTGCCAGCCCTCTAATTTTGTATTTGGTCTTATAGATACGGTCCGAGAACTCCTGTGTCTGATGACGCAGAGTAAGTTGTCTTTTATTCATAGAATTACATTAATTACTAGCCTAAACTGCATGCTTCCAGTACTTACCACTAACTGAAATGCAATCCGTGCAACGATGAACTGAATAGCTAACTGGCTCGTGCAACATCAGAAAACCACTTGAAGTTGGAACGCAGAACATATGTTCTATGCAGGAGAGATGAATGAAAATGCATCTTAAGCATGATTCTAGTATGCAACTGCTGCTTCAAACATAACATTTGCTTTTCATAGACCAGGCATGTGAAAGCTGTTCTTGTGACGGTTGGGACACAGGTGCTCTTTCTGAACTTCGAAATTATTTGAAAAGGTTTTCTGAGTTCTGCACTTCATTCTTGACAAGTTGGAGCTTAGAGTTAACAATGAAGCTGTCATTCCCATTGCCACATGTTTTTGAAACTAAGAAAATAAACCCCAAACCACTAATTATACATTCAGAAGCCCAAGTTCCTCCCAGGTTGGAGTAACATAAACTGTGGGATGCTTGAGACCAAAACGTTGGGGTTTTTGTTCAAGTCCCGTGACATAGCAAGGGGTCAAGGATGTAAAACATGCGTTGGGCTTCCTCTCCCTGCTGCTTGGTTTTCACTGCTCTTGTTGATTCATTTCCCATCCTTCCCTCACATCCAAATTTAAGAAAAATCCACTCTATCCTATTTGGAACCACATTAACTCCCTTTCAAAAAATGGATTTCCCGTATGCCAGTCATTCTGAAACTGAAATTCAAGGCAAAAATTTTCTTTGCAGAATATAAGCCTTCTCAGATTTGAGGAACTTGTGCTTTAAGAAACATGATTAATATCTAACTCCAACATCAGTACTCTGCTGAGTAGCTGCCTGATGGCTCTCCTTTCTGTGAGAGGCATTTTGTGGCCTCGCAGGAGTCTGGGCCACACCAGCAATCCTTCCGTCTGTCCTCCATGCCTGAGCCATAGTTTCAAGTCATAGAGTGTAGGACACGTGGGGGATGAGGTCCTAAATAAGGGTGTAGAGCACACAAATACCATGGATGGCAATGAGATTAGGCAAAATAGTGCTTTCGAGTTACACTGTTCCCATGTTTGTGTTCAAGATGTCAGCTCAGTTTGCACTCTTAGCCCTACACTGAGTCTGACTCCAGCGCCAAGATATCCGTTTCCAGTGTGCGATCTATTATTACTGGTTTGTGGCTCTAAGTGCAGAACATTCGTGTCTCAAAACCAAATTCAGCCCGAGCTTGACTGACTGCATGGAGTTAAAGACTGTAAAATTGAGTCCTGGTTATTGCTTTTAAAATCTGCTGTGGCAATATTTAACGTTCACTGAAAGGAGGATTATATAAGATGGATAGAAAAACACTATTTTGATTCGTTAGCAAAAACATCTTGATAAATGGATTTATTCTCCCTTAAGGTAAAGCCTCTGTGCAGTTTGCCTAAAATAGATCTCTGGAAATCCCTAGAAGGTGAAAGAAAGGATGCTACATAAAAGAGCTTTTGAATTTTGCCTGTACCTGAATATGAAACCCCACCCATAGGAAAAGTTAATGATTTTTTTAAAAGGTATGGGGATGGGGACTTCCTTCTGTCCTCCTCTAAATTTATAAAAGGCAGCCTCATAGACTGAGAAGAGTAAAAAGAACTCTTTTTCCAGAGGTCTTATGTAGGAATATCCGAAGTACCAAATTTTCTGCTTTAAGTAGACACAATTTAAAATGTAATAAATGTAATCATGTGGGAAACAAAATCAAAAGTTTATATCAGGAGTTTATCTTTTAAATAGAAATTTATAAAATTTTTAGATGATCTGTTCCCCCTACTACCTTTATTTTTCAGAATCTTTAAAGACAATGATTGGCATAGATTAAATTTATTTATAATTGACACATTCTTAAAGTACAGGCCAAACAAAAAAGATGTGCCCTTTACGGAAATTGCAGGTCAGAGGCAGACCTACCACACAGGCAGAGAAATTTCCGCCTCCTGGCAAGCCAGGAATGTTTCCATAGATTTAGTTTCACCTTCTTGCCCTTTTCCTCACTTCCACACTCCTCCTCTCCCACCACTTTCTCCACCAACAAAGCCTGTGCATCGTGAGAGCTGCAGATAGGTTTTTTTCTTAATTCCTTTTCCTTAGACCTAGCTCAGAAACAATTCCCAGGCTTCCCTTGACAGTTATTTAATCCTGGCCCTCAAAAATGCCAACCCACCATCAATAGGGAGTCTTGCGCTCTGCAGCAATATGCCATTGTCCCAGCAGCCCAAGGGCATGGGCTCAGTGCAAATCACATTAATATTCTGGAACCTGGGCTTCTCCAGAATCCTCCTCCCCAATCCTCCCAAACAGACGTTTCTCCAGTTTGGAGGCCGAGTTCAACCTCTGAACTACAGAACATTTTCTGCCTAGTGACTCAGCCCATTTTCTGCCTAGCATTATCAATTCTCAACTTTCTCAGTTCCTTTTTTTGAAATGGCATGAGTATATTGCTCACAGTTATTTCTTTCTTTGGCCAGTTTCCTGGTATTTCTTTAAAAAAAAAAATCTGGAAAGTAATAGTACTTCCTGTATATGAGAGGGCAAACAAGAGTTTCTATTTTTATTTGGCTAACCAACTTTTGGGCACATTTGGACAGAGGTAGTTAGAGCTTCACAGTGGGAAGAGAGATGGGAACCTAGGACAGAAGAATATGATTCTGAAAACCTTGCTTCTCTTCTCCATGGCCATCGAGTGGGATAACCAAATCCCAAATATCAGAGGAGGTTACCATTTTCTTTCTTGGATCCCAGAAGAAGGCTTGGTCCTATGGCCACCCATTTTGGTCTAATCCAAAATTCTGTGCTTTAAAAATTATAGATGGCAAAGTCGAGGAAAGGGGCCTTTCTGTCCCACAATCAGCCATCTGTGTAAGTGGATTACAAAAGGGTCCCCGATCAAAGACCTTTATATCTTCTAAGATCTTAGTAGAGATTGTAAATTGCCTTAAAAGAGGAACTCACTGGATTGGATATATTTAAAGGTAAGATTGTTTTGTTTTTGTTTAACTGTGAGAAGAGGAATGGGATGAATTTCAGCCTTTTTCTGGAAGGTATGTCTAAGTAAGTTTTGATCCACAAAGCTTAAAAAGCATGGATTAATTTTTTCTTCCTAACCCTGCTAACTCTTAATTCTTACACAACATTTATAAATATTTTAATAGTTTAGAGTAAGTGAGAAATCACACACACACACACACATACCCTTTGAGGAATACAGTTTATCCTTCTGGAAGGCACAGCTGCTGAAATCACCACTATCCAATAAGTGTGTTGAGGCAGCTTCACTCAGTGGTTTATCATATCTGTGTTAATAGAAACCTCACAAGTCCTTCTCTGAAGCCTATTATTAGAATACTCTTGGGGAAGACCAGTTACAGCTACGGTCTTCAGTTTTAGTTCTCTTTGGTCAGACTTAAATTGTCTAACACCTGCACAGAGGCTAAAAACACCTGCACGGTTCATGCAGATTCAGTTTGAGTGGATTGTATGAAGACAGTGGGCTACCATTGCTTTGGGGGGGTCGTCTTCTCCTTCCAGAGCACTGCCTGCTAAGGAACGCACTTGCATCCAATGATGCTGCCGCAGCTCCTTGTCCCACTATGGAGATAACTATTTTGGTCATCGCTATGATGTCTAGAATTAGTTGGTGTCAGCTGCATGGCTTTTCCTTTTCTTTGTGTTAAGCTGGCTTAAAAAGATTGACTATCACAGCCTTCTTCTGTTCCCACAGTGAAGAGTAAAGTTTAAAGGACCCCTTCCAAGGTGTTGATTTTTGGACTGCATAGCCCACTTAGCTGCAGAGATAGTTATTTCTTTGAGAGGAAAAAAGGGAGAATATTGCTTTAGTTTCTGCTTCGGTTTTCATCTTGCTGCTTCAGCTTTTGCTGTAACAAAGGTCTATGTAAGGATTATAGAAAAGACCCTATGGTTGCCCAACATTTAAAAAGCTACTGTGGAGTAAATCAGGTATATATACAGCTTAAGGGTTTTCTAAGGTTGTTTTTTTCTATCCTTTTTTAAAAAAGAATAAATTTGGAGGCATCCTGACAAAAATAAAGCAAAATAATTGTGAGAATATTAAAGTGCAAATATACATGGATTTAGATGTTTTATTCCTTCCTCTTACTATAAAATACTTGTTATCTTGATTCCAAGATGCCATCAAGTGTGTTATCAAATTAAAGACAATTTCACAGGAAATAAAAATAAGCACATGAGACACATACATCATCGATTCCTAGATGTTGGGTGCATCCAAAATTCAGAAAATACGATAAGAAAAGGTGGAGGTTTTCAACTTGAGGCCCTATGATATTTTTTTTTAATGGAGAAATTGCCTCAGTTAACGAAGAAAGCATTTAAGCCAGCTCTTACAAAGAAGCATTGACTGGAATAAAGTTTCCCTGCATGGAATGCTGCCCTCCTCCCCACAGATTCTCCCCGTGTTGTACCTTTTAATTCTCTTTATTTTATTTTATTTTTTTTTTTACTGTACTTCCAAATGAGAGGAGCCCAGGACTTCAAATATGTTTTTCTAGTGGTTCTTTAAACATACGCCGGCACCTACATATAAAATTTTTGAACTACATCACTGAAGACAAAGATGATCACATTTTGCTTTGGCGTCAAAAGCAATAGAGGTGGGGGCACTAGCATGCCCCCTACCCGCTGAGGGATCCCAACAGGCTACAAATCCTGCTGCTGTTTTGTGCTGCTGAGGGCAAGGGCAGTTTTCCAAATACAGTAGTGCCCCCACATGGCAGAGAAATGAGGAGTGCTGATCCTGGTCAATTTTTGTTTTTGCTCTCGCCTCACTCAGGAGCACGAGCATGTTTGATGTGCGCTGTGAGGAAGAGGCTGCAGTACAGCCCCACAGCAGGGCCCGCCAGGAGCAGCTGCAGCTGATAAATAGCCAGCTGAGGGAAGAGGATGACAAATGGCAAGATGTGAGTACAGGCCAAGGCCCGGGGCAGTGGGAGGCTGCTCAGCATGATGGGTAAGAGGCCCTTTAGAGCAGAAAATCAGGCTGGGTGGGTAGACTTGGACTTGAAACCCAGGCGGGAGAACGTAGATTGGGGATAGCCAGTGAGAGGGAGCCCCTGGAGGATTTTAAACAGTGATACAGTAAATGTGGGAATTAAAAGAAGGTTAATAGCAACCTGAAGGGTGGGAAGTGAATGACACAGACGTGCAATCAGCTAGTACCTTTGCTAAAAGCTTGGCCACAAAGGAGAGTGAAGTGAGAGGGAGGTATCTGGAATGAAATGTAGGACTGAGAAACCACTGTCTTTTGAGAGTCAATATTTGAAATATTAATGATGATGGTAATTGTCAACATTGAAAGTATACCAGTGCTGGGCACTATTCTAAGTGCTTTGCATGGATTAATTAATTTAGACCTCTTGGTAACCCAATGAACTAGGAGCAATTATTGCCCCTAATTTTAGACCCAAGACAGCTAATTAACTTGCCCCGAGTCACACAGCTAGTGAGTGGAGTAGACAGGATTTGAGCCAGGATTAACTCTCAAGAGCCTGATGAGGGCCTTGAGAATGTTTGTGATCAGAGAGCAAAGATCCAGGGCAGATAATAGAGCTTGAAGTTAGAGGTGAGAAGAAGGAGAGTTGATTATTTCATTTAATCCTTGTAGAGCATATTTAGGTAGCTATTCCAAACTTGACTCTACTGTTAGTTAAAAAAGTTGTCCGAAGTCAGTAAAATGTAGTAATAATTATGTCTGCAATATATCAAACACTTACTATCTGCCTGGCACCTTAGGTACATTGCTTCATTTAACCTTCACAACAAGCCTGTGAGGGTAGGTGCTATTATCATCCCCATTTTAGAGATGAGGAAGCTGAGGTGCAGAGAGGCTAAGAAACTTGCCTAAGATTCCAAAGCATAGAGGAGATAGAGTTGGGATTATTCCTCAGAGCTGCAAATCCCATCCATCTGACCCTAGAATCCTAATTCTTCATGATTATGATCTAAGTGCCTATAGGATTTGTGGTGAAGTTGTAAGGACCAACTAAATTAATACAGGTAGAATCATCAGGTCTGTAAGACCTCAAAGCCGATTTTTTCCCACCTTTTCTCCCTTCCCTGAGAAACTTATTTAGGCCTGTGGTTAATCCTTACCATTTTATTGTCCACAAGATCAGAATCATGTCCATTCACAGTGAAGAGGTCATAAATAGAAAAAAATGAAGTTTCTTGTAATTACATTGTGAGGCAGTTCTCTAAACTTTGGCCACTGACATGGAATATCATTGCATATTTCACATTGCTATGTTTAAATAAATGTGCTTCCCCTGTTATGAAAATGTAGATAATCTATGAATGTTTCCTGCCTTGAGGTATTCCTGTTCCAACCAGACACACATTGGATTGTGTGGGAAAGCTCTGCATAGTGCCTGGCCCATAGTCAGTGCTCACTAAACTCTGAAGAGTAGAAATGAAATTATGTGCAAGCCTGATGAAGAGTATTATCTCTCCCTGCAGGACCTGGCTCGATGGAAGAGCCGCAGAAGAAGTGTTTCTCAGGACTTAATCAAGAAAGAGGAAGAAAGGAAAAAAATGGAGAAGTTACTGGCTGGAGAAGATGGGACACGTGAACGAAGGAAAAGCATCAAAACCTACAGAGAAATTGTTCAAGAAAAGTGAGTTCTTTCTGTTGTTTATTTTTAATTGTACAAAATTATCTAGATGTGTGGTGTCTTTTTGAAAATTTTTGCTTATCACGAAGGCTCTAATGCCAATGTTTTAAACCTTCTGTACCATCCCTTCAGTTCTACCTTGGTTCCTACTAAGGTCTTCTGTGCAGTTTTCATGACTGTTAACTCTATCATTGCTTCCTTCTCCCACGCCCAATCCTTTAGAGAGCGGAGAGAGAGAGAATTGCACGAGGCGTACAAGAATGCTCGGACCCAGGAGGAGGCAGAAGGGATCCTTCAGCAATACATTGAGAGGTTCACCATCAGCGAGGCTGTTCTTGAACGCTTGGAGATGCCAAAAATTCTGGAAAGAAGCCATTCAACAGAGCCAAACTTATCCTCCTTCCTGAACGAACCCAACCCCATGAAATACCTGCGGCAGCAGTCACTGCCTCCACCCAAATTCACTGCCACTGTTGAAACCACCATCACTGGTACTGGTGTTCTGGATACCAGCATGTCAGCAGGCAGTGGGTCTCCAAGCAAAACTGTCACTCCCAAAGCAGTGCCTATGCTGACACCCAAGCCTTACTCCCAACCCAAAAACTCTCAGGAGGTTCTGAAGACCTTTAAGGTAGGATGAGTCCCTTAACAGTAGAACCAAAGCTAAACTCCAGGTACTCAATGGAAAGAAGCATCCTGACTCAAGAAAATGCAATTATTTTTACCTAACAGAATCAAAATATGGTAACATTTACATCTGTGAAGTTTATGTCTGTCAGGAGATTTGGATTTGCAAATACTTAAGGAACCCCAATTACTGTGGTTGGTCCTGAAGGACTCCAATAGTGTGTTATTCCCATGAGCAAGGCCTATTTTCTAGTTTGATATAACAGCATAGTATCCGTAGTGCTGTTGTTGTGTACTATCGAGTCAATTTTGATTCGTGGCAACACTATAGGACAGAGTAGAACTGCCCCATAGGGTTTCCTAGGCTGTAATCTTTACGGGAGCACATCACTGGGTCTTTTCTCCTGTGGAGCCACTGGTGGGTTTGAACGCCAACCTTTCCTTTAGCAGTTGAGTGCTTAACCATTGCATCACCAGGACTTCTTAGTGGTAACCAACCGTAATTTAGTGACATCTGTTCATGAGTTGGAATTGACTCCACAGAAATGGTATTTTTGTGGTTTTTTTGTTTGTTTGTTTGTTTGGTGGTGTCTCTAGCTGTTTAGAGGTATTGAAAAGCCCTCAGTATAACATTTTAGTTGGCTTTGGTCTAAATGCTGGAAGCCCTGGTGACGCAGTGGTTAAGAGCTTGCCTGCTAACCAAAAGGTTGGCAGTTCAAATCCACCAGCTGCTCCTTGAAAACCTTACGGGACAGTTCTACTCTGTCCTGTAGGGTATGAGTCGCAATTGACTTGACGGCAACGGGATTTTTTTTGTTTGTTTTTTGGTTTAAATGGTGGTATATGCAGCTGCCTGACCTCTCTTTTAAGAAGAAATTGACATCGGATCCAAAAAGATACTATGATTGCAAAAATAATAATGAGGATGATAAAAGAACACATAAGAACATTGGATGTACTTGGTCCTCAGATAAGACAAGTTTCCTTTTATTTTTGAAGTGGAGGGGAAGTAGGTTGTTTTTAGCAGTAAATGTGTAAAATAATATTCCAGAACCTATGACAACCAACCATCTTTCCATTTCCTCAAACTCCAGTATTTTCTCTCACATTTAGAAACACTACTCCTCTGTTGAAAGTTCTTTTAACTGTAAAGAAAAATTGGTTCTCATTGTCCTTGTACACCACATGGGTTCATAATAGAAGACAAGCCCATGTGGTGAACAGGGACAATGAGAACTGCAATAGAACTTCGTAATAGAGGTGGAATTCATCTCTAGGAGACATGAACACTGTGATTATAAAAACAGTTTGCTTAACTAAACTAATTGAGCAATATGATGTCATTTATCTTATTAAATTTCAGAGGGCACCAAGCCATACTTTCTGACTTTTGCTTAAATAACTCTGAATGTATCTTCAAAATCTTTGATAGAATAAAAGAAAAATGCCCTGGCTGTCTCATCTGGATTGAACTGGATGTTTGTCCCTTTAAGGACAGGCAGGACCTGTGCCCTTATAGCTTCATCCCAATGCTTGATGTAGGTGACTAGGACAAGGTCAGCACTCAGCAAGTGTATATTGAATAAATAAATGAATCTTCCCTGAGAAGATGAGCTACTAAGCATGCAAACACAAATATGCTCAAGCCCACGCACACTCAGTGGTCCACTTCAGTAGCTTTCCTTCACCTAGGGTCTACAATGATGGCCTGTCTGTGATATCTCATGAAGGAAGATCTTATGTTGAGCTGGCCCAGCAGAGGTGTAGAGAATGTGTTTAATTAACTTTGAACCCAAGGACTCTGATCAGATAATCTAGATGTCCACTTTCCCCTCCTTTATGTAAATAGTGCATTGTGACAATTTATAGAAGAATAAAGATAGATAGCAAGACTTTGCTTTTATTATTTCCTGGGACTTTTTTAGGCAGAGAAGTATTGAAGGGGTGCTTGTGGTGTGACCTTTCTTTAGGCTAATCTGTTTCAAGGCAGCCCTAGATTTGCCTTGAGCCTCTAGGTAACTTGGCAAAAAACCAGTTGCCGTTGAGTTGATTTCAACTCGTGACAACCTCATGTATGCCAAAGTAGACCTGTGCTCCGTAGGGTTTTCAGTGGCTGATTTTTCAGAAGTATATCGTCAGGCCTTTCTTCTAAGCACCTCTAGGTGGACTCAAACCTCCAACCTTCTGGTTAACAGCCAAGCACATTAACCATTTGCACCACCCAGGGACTCCAGGAGTTGCTTTACAGGATTCATTAAAATGAGCTACAGCCCCTTCTCACACCTTCCATTTAATGCATCATCCCAACACAGAAACCAGCCATTTTGAAAGACATATAAGAAGTTAGTTGGCTTAATTTAGAATTTGAACGTGTATGTGAGTGGTCTGGGCCTCAGGCTTTACTTTCTCTGGGTCATGGGTTTTTTCTTTTTCCTAAGTGTTCCCACTATATGCTTCTAATATGTTCGTCTATGTTACCTCCATGTTACATCCAAGACCCACGTCGTGTGATTCTCAATGTGTTATTTATTTTGTTATAGTCTTTGGTTGGGGAATAGCGTGTTTTTTGTTCATTGTGATTTTTATAGGTAGATGGGAAAGTCAGCATGAATGGAGAAATGGTTCATGGAGATGAGGAGAAGGAAAGAGAGTGCCCTGCAGTGGCACTTGCCCCCTCCTTAACCAAATCCCAGATGTTTGAAGGTGTGGCCACAGTGCATGGGACCCCGGTGGAGTTGAAACAAGACAACAATGGCATTGAGATCAACATAAAGAAGCCAAATTCGGTTCCCCAAGAACTGAAAGTAAGAACCAAACTTTTTTTTTTCTTCTCTCTTTGGGATAACTCCATTGTGAAATAATTTGTTTAAAAAAATAAGTAGGTCTTGATAATGATCATCTTGTTCTGTGTGGGGTATAACAAAACCAGTTGTTATTGAGTCAGTTCTGACTCATGGTGACCCCTTGTGTGTCAGAGTAGAAGTGTGCTCCACTGGGTTTTCAATGGTTAATTTTTTGGAAGTAGATCACCAGGTCTTTCTTCTGAGGTACATCTGGGTGGACTTGAACCTCCAACCTTTCAGTTAACAGCCGAGTGCATTAATGTTTACATCACTCAGGGACTCCGTGGGGTATAATAGAAGGAGTAATACAATTTGTGAATGAGAAATGACTTTTTCTTGTCTTCACATTGTTAATGTCTAGTGTTATAGAAAAATAAATGAGCCTTTAGAATACATTTATTTTTTCTGTTTGTTTAGGACTCTGTTAGAATAGTTTAGAATTTGAAAATAATCAGTGCCATCAGGACCTGGCTTTCCATTCTTAAAACTAAAAACAAACAAAAAAAAAACCTGTTGCCATCAAGTCGATTCTGACTCACGGCAACCCCTTGTGTTGCAGAGCAGAACTGCGCTCCATAGAGTTTTCATGGCTGTGACCATTTGGAAAGGAGCCCTGGTGGTGCAGTGGTTAAGTGTTTGGCTGCTAACTGAAAGGTTAGCAGATTGAACCCACCAGCTGCTCCACAGGAGAAAGATGTGGCAATCTGCTTCCATAAAGATGACAGCCTTGAAAACCCTATGGGGCAGTTCCACTCTGTCCTATACGGTCGCTATGAGTTGGAATGGACTCTGTGGCAACAGAATAGGACTGTTCAGAAGCAGATCACCAGGCCTTTCTTCTGAGACACCTCTGTCTGGGTTCAAACTGCCAACCTTTTGGTTTGTAGCCCAGTGCTAAACTGTCTGCTCCACCCAGGGATTCCCTTCTTAAGAATGTATATAAAAGGGTGATTTTCTTTTTTTTTTTTCTAATAATCTTCTATTTTTTTATTTTTTAACTTTTTTTTTATTGAACTTTAGATGAAGGTTTATAGAACAAACTAGCTTCTCATTAAACAGTTAGTACATACATTGTTTTATGACATTGGTTAACAACCCCAAGGGTCACTTTCTGTTTAAACAAACAATAACATAAAAAAAAAACTTAATAAAAGAAAACTAATTTTTGTTTGCTTATCCCATTAAATTCAGAGTAATTAAAAGCACTATTAGATGGCCAGCCTAAAAAAATGTAAGGTAATTTAAGAACAGGAGAAAATAAAACTCAAAATAACATCACATTTGCCAATTTGGAGTATAAAAAGTGATTTGTGAAGATTACACTTTTCTTAGATCTCTCACCTGAAAAGCTTGGCTGGTTTTGCTGATCAATCCAAAACTGTTACTACCATGGATGCAGGCCAGCTTTTGGGGTTTAAGCTGGACTTTATCCAACCTCATATGTCCTCACCAATTTATAGTGTGTGGGTTGGAATTAGAGGATGGGAAAAATTGTCAAGATTTTTCCCTCCAGCACCTAGAGAGGTTTGGTTCAGAAGGAAACTTGTGTTCTTACTCCAGGGCTAAGAGTTAAGTGACCTAGCTAACTAATCCCCACCCAGCAGACTGGGTATTATTCTTCTTATCTCTGCAGTTGTCTTTTGAAGAATAAAATTACGTTTTCTTGGAGGACTTGAGAGGGTGTAATTCTTCCCTACAGTGCTCAAGGGGATCCAGAAGGAGGTTTCAGTTGGAATAGAACAAAATAATTTCCTCACCATGGTAACATGTTTCCTTGTCTCTAGGAGCAAAGTTTTGTGATGCAGGCAAATGCTGAGTCTCTCAGACTGGAATTTAATTTCACTTTTCACGTGCATGTCACCACCTCTAAAGCATTCTTACAAATTATCATGAGATGGGACGTTGGGTTCTGCTAGCAATGTGGGAACTTTACTGGTGAAATAAATATTAACTTTGTTCTTAAATTTGAATTAGAAACCCCTCAAATTAATAAGACCTTGCAGGGGCAGAACTGCTTTTCCAAGACAGGTTATTTCTCTTTTGCCACACTTTGTGATAAGCATTTTCTAAATTCTCTTCATTAACACCTTTCTATTGCTCAATTTGGTTATTTTGTCTATCAGACCCCAGGCCTTTTGCAGATACTGTCAAGCAGCTCTTTCTCAATATACTTTGGAAAAGCAACAGTGCAAGTTGTCATGCTTGCCCCATGGCACCTGCCACATAACAGAGGTGGTCAGAGTTTAGGTCAGGCCCAGCGGATTAATTATAAGAACAAATCCATCCGGCATGTGTCTCCATCTCTCATCAATTCTGCCCTCTGACCATTTTTTTGTTTGAATTTGGGAAAAACCCTGCCCTTGACTGAATAGATTTTACTTTTGACAAAGGTTAAAGGAACAAGTATGAGGTCTAAACTTCCTCAACCAAGTATTTAATCTGTCTTGTTTTTTAATCCTTTGGGGAAAAATATGTCACTCATCCTGTATGAAGGCCTATGGTCTTAAGTCCAGGACTCTTAAAACAGAAGAAAAGTAGTTTTGTTTGATTTTTTTTTTTTTTTAGAAAAGTAAAACTTCCCTTAAAAATACATTTATTCTCAATAATCACTATCTTATTCTTACAATGAGCAAACTAAAACAAAAGGCCTGTTCTCTCTTGGGGCCCTGGTGGCACAGTGGTTAAGAGCTTGGCTGCTAACCGAAAGGTCAGCAGTTCAAATCCACCAGCTGCTTCTTGGAAACCTTATGGGGCAGTTCTACTCTGTCCTATAGGGTCGCTACTAATTGGAATTGACTCAGTGGCAATGGATATTTTTGGCTATTCTCTGTTAATCCCAGGCATTTTCCCATTTAATCATAGTTGTACTGCTAAATTCCTGTAAAGTGATGAGAAAATTGTTATTTCACCCCCTCCCCTCAAGTATCTTGTTTTGAGAGCAGAAAAATGGGATGATCTCAAAGAATCATATTATTTTAGGAGTTTGTCCACTGTAATAAGGATAATTTCTAACCAAAGTTGTCCTTATAGACTTTTTCCAGAAATCAGCTTCATCCTGGGCAACCTGAGGATGCAGGTTCAAGCAGATGGAAAAGCCTAGGGGGTCTCTTCTTCTATGTATTTCTTCCTTGCAGAAACTGCTTAGTTTGGAGAATTTCTAGTTCAGTAAACCCTAGTGATTCTGAATAGGTTCAGTACCAGTTGCTGTCAAGATTCTGACTCATGATGACCCCATGTGTGTCAGAGTAGAACTGTACTTCATAGAGTTTTCAATGGCTGATTTTTTGGAAGTAGATCACCAGGCCATTCTTCTGAGGCATATCTGGATAGACTTGAACCTCTAACCTTTTGGTTAGCAGCTGAACACATTAACTATTTACACCACCCAGGGACTCCATTCTGCTTAGGTAATAGCATATATTTATCCTATCTCTGATACTTTAGGCTCTTGAATTAACTATGGCAGGGACTATTGCGTTATTTTCTGGGTAGGTAGCTACCTGTATATATTTATTAGACTATAAGCAAAGTTTTTAGCGGTCTACACAGAACTTTGGCTCATTACAAAATCATTCTTCATACTCGCTTTCGACTTGTGACACCAAAACGTTTCCGCTCAGAATGTGTTATTCCTAGATTCATTTTTAAACAATCCCTTTTCTGTTAAACCTACACATCATTTTACTTCTCCATTATTGCAGGAAAAGCATTTATTTAGTATACTATAATCAATATATTGCTATTATAGAAAGCAGAATTAATTGGTCATGGCAAAATATGAGGACAAGCTTAAAAGGAGAAGCTATACTTCAGAGCCTCCTCAGGATGGATAACAGACTTGATTTTCAATTTCTAATTCCTTTGCCCAATTTTGTGGTGCTATCAAAGGAATAGTGTTCTTTTTAAATGGTGCCTTTCTTCCCAAAAATGCATTCCCAACAGATACAGTCTCTACAGAGGAGTAGCCTCACCCACCACTAAAATGTCACAATTCCTTTAGGGCGAGCTGGAACTGTTCAAAGGGCACAGCAGCAGCAGTAGGCAGGAGCATTAATTCAGACTCTGAGGCAGAGCTGCCGAGAAGAATTGGCCATCCAACTCCAGTGGGGGAAGGGAACAAGGTTGGTGCATCAGCCTCTTGGGCTCACACAAGCACTTTCATATGGAATCATGTCATCTACTTGGTTTCCTTCCATTTCCTCGTTCTCATTTTAAATTTTTTTAGTAATTTATTTTATTTTTGTTGTTGAAAATATGCACAACAGAACATGCACCAATTCAACCATTTCTACCTGTACAATTCAGTGACATTGATTAAATTCTTCAAGTTGTGCAACCATTCTCACCCTCCTTTTCTGAATTGTTCTCCCCCATTGACATAAACTCACAGCCCCCTAAGCTTCCTATCTAACCTTTCAAGTTGCTGTTGTCAATTTGATCCCATACAGATAGTTCTTTAAAAGAGCACAATGCTCAAGGCAGACATTCTTTACTAATTAAGCAACTTTCTTACTTTAGAAATAGATCTGAAATGAAGTTAGAGTTTTAATTTTTTAGTACTCTGGCTGTATCTACTGGTGCCAGGAAACTCTAGATCATCCTTAGTTAAATCACCTCTACGGTGATGAGATTGTGAGAGCAATTTCCTTGCAAGTGCTTGACCATTAACTGATAAGCATGAACGAATGACCTACACTGTGCCCCATTCATTGAAATAGAAGAAGAAACTTAGAAATGTACTGGGATAGAAATTTTTATAAAGCAACTAGAAAATTTCATAAAGCACTATTTTTAAATATTAGATCATGGGGTGACAAGCCTAGTGGGATGTAAGATTGCCAAGAATAGGTCAGATCATTGCAGGCAAGGGTTAGTCTGAGAAGGTTTTGGGGGGAGATGTGGATTTTGAAATGACCTTAAGTGTGGGATGTGCGTTGGACTGGAGAAGAGAAGGGGGCTAT